ATTTAAGTTTGTTCGGCTCAAATTCAGTTTTTATGAATTGGTATGTTTGGGCACGCGCCGTTGCAATTTCTGGGTTAATTTTTTCTTCTATCTCCTCTAATTTATCGTTTATTTCTGTTAATCTTTTCTGAGCCTCGTCGCTCAGAGAAAAATCTGGGTCGCTATTTACCATATTTGCCATTCATGATTTGTCTTTTAAAAGGGAAAGAGTGAACCTCTCCCCGAAGTTATCAAGCATTGTTTTTTCCACCGTGGTTCAATATTTTTCCTTATTATTTTCGCCAAAAGAAGTTCCATGTAAAACATATTTTTCTCACGCAACTCTAAATTCCTTTAAATGATTTTTCCAAAGGTAAGAAATACCCTCATCACTAAAATATCAGAGCGGATTTTTTTCAATTCTTACGTGTAGTCAAGCCACTTGTAAACCGCTGGTGGATAAACAATAAGGAACTTTCGGTTCTGCTTCTAATTTAGCGAGCATTTGTTCCGCAACTTCCGCTCAAAAATCCGCTCATTCGGCTTTCGAAGCATTATTTACAAAGCGGCTTAGGTCTTGGTAGTTTTTGTTTCCACTCGGCTTAGGGACGACTAATAAATTGTTGTTCAGAGAATTAAAACTTACTACGGATTTAGTAGGTTCGCGGTTGTAATATTCCTCGTATATTCCTGATTCGGGAGCCACTGTTTCTAGCATTTCCTGTGGCGGTTTGTAGACTGAATATGAAAAATCATTATCTAAAGTTTCTTGCGTAATTGGCGGGCATTCCCATACCCAACCATCGGCTTCCCAATTTTGGACTTGTTCTAAAGATTTTTTAAAAAGGTTAAGAAATTCTACATTCTTGTTTTTTAAGAAGGTTAAAAATCCTCCAAAAGTTAATAATTTGTCATTAAATTGGAATTGTTTTTTATCTAGACCATTATGGACAAAGGCCTCCCTTGGTGTTAATTTCCTATTGTTGTGCTTATTTAATGCTCTTATAATTTCTTTAATATCTCTCAATGGTGACATATTGGTAATTCTTTTCTTATATTATTCTTTTTAATCTACACGATAAAAAAATGTCAATTTCCAGTTTTATGTTTTTTTCGCAATCTAAATTTAAAAACTATATTATATGCAAGGAATTCAACAAATAACCCAAGAGGTAAATAAAAAAAGTAAATTAAATAGTATTGATAACACTAAAAAAGTGATTACGGCTTTCTTAGAAACTTTACGAGAAAAACTAAATCAAGGTGAAGCCATTAATTTTAAAGGATATTTTAATCTCAAAAGGATTACTACTAAACCCGTAGGAGTTAAACATTGTAGCAAACACGAAAAAGCTTTAAATGATTTTAAATTAGCCAATAAAGGCAAAGGAATTATGGCTTTCACTAAATCGGAAAAATTTCGTAATTTAGTCCGGGACACTAAAAACTGTAAAGAATGTCAAAATAAAAAATCAGCCTTAGCTAAAAATGCTAAATTAACTAATCGCATTAGTTTTAAACCTAGTAAAGATTTTTGAAAAGTAAGTAAGCCAGTTAAGAAAGGTAAATAAACTTAAAAGTTAACCACTGTTAAAAATTAGGATTATTAAAATAGGTTTTTTTTAACTACCTTAAAAATCGCCAAATTAAAAAAAATATTTAAGAGTAAATTTAAGACTTGGTTTTTAAATTGACTATGGTCGCGGCAATTTGCCGGCTAATTGCGGGCAGGCGGGACAAATCCGGATAAAGATAACCAGCTTTTTTTTCGCTCGCATTTAGACTGGCGGCTAAGGCCTTAGCGGCTTTGTAAACCACAAGGTCATTAATTGTTTTTAATTTTGTCGCTAAAATACCTAGTTCTAAGCCGGGAAAAATATACATGTTATTAGCCTGATTGCTCGGATAGATTTTATTGCTGGGCGGAATTGAATAGTCAGGAAAGGCGGTTCCCGAAGCAAAGATTACTTGCTGGTTAGTGTGTTGCATAGCCGCGGACAAAGAACATTCGCTGTTAGTTTCCGGGTTAGAAAGAGCAAAAATTATAGGCTGGGGGTTGTATTTAGCCATTAAGCCCAGAACCGCGGGAGTAAAAATTTCCTTTTTTCCACTTAACCCAATCAAAATGGTCGGTTTAATATAAGCAATTATTTCATTGAGGTTTGGACCAGGTTGTTGACCATTATTCGCCCGGACAAAAATTTTTTTGTGTTCAGCTAGTGGGCTTTTTCGGTTTTTGCTTATTAATCCTTGGCTGTCTACTCCTCAAATTAATTGTTGGGCTTCTGGTAGTTTTAAGCCCTGTTCCCGCTGGAAATAA